GCAGCAGAACCAAGCAAAGGCAGGATCTTGATGGAACGAACACTTGAAAGGTCAGCATTTCTATGAAGTCATGAAATCTGTTTTTCAAACGTATTACTAGAGCAGACTTCCTCAATCTTGGCAATGTGGCCACATCAAACCAGATGACTCTGCTGTAGGGCTGTCCTGTGCATGATAGGATGGTTAGCCACATCCCTGGCTTTCACCCACTAGATGTGTGGATCCTCGTAGCTGAGATAACCAAAAATATCTCCCGACATTGACAGATGTTCAGGGATGCATGTTGAACAACTCACTATCCCCATGATGCAGCTAGCTTACTGTTTCGCCTTTCAAAGAAAATACTTTGGTAGGTGTGGGTTTGGAGGTAGAGAGGAGGCAGGATTCAGGTGCTTTCTGCTAACTCTGTGGGAGTATTTAGAATTTTTTCCCCCATCCTTGAAATTGCTGTTGGAGCTCATTTCTGAAGAGCCTATGGAAATAAGCCCTACTTCTTCATGCTCATAGCTCATGGCTATATTCTTGGAATTACAGACTTTTAGAATTAGGAAAGATCTTAGAGATCTGCTAGGTTCAAACAATTATGTAATCCACCAAATATCTGCACTCCTCCAAACTCAGTGTGTTACAGATGTTTGTGACTAGGACACTGCAGCTGTGCCAAAGAGAGATCGCCAGATGCCATTTCATTGTCAAGTATCTAGAATAGGATCTCATGCAAAATAAAAATCTAAAGTGTGATCATTAGGGTGCCTGGCTGGCTCAGTTGGTAGAACCTGGAACTCCTGATCTAGGAGCAGTGAGTTTGAGCCCCATGTTAGGTGTGGAGTTTACGTACACGTGTACATACACACACACACACACACACACACACACACACACACACACACACGTACATGTGTAATCGTCCCAGGTGCAGTTCAGGGTTAGGAGGGAATACAACCCATGGCAGCTCATCATGATTTAAAATAAACCAAACAACCTCAAGTACAACTCGGCCCCAGAGCTGGAAGACAGGGGTGGGGGACTCGGGGTGGGAAACGTGCAAACTGGCTTTGTGATAGTAAGATCTACTGCTGGCTGCCATCTCAGCATTTTTAGCAAAACTATTCACAGTTGTGTTGCTTGGCCAGAAAAACCTTGTTTCATTTATACAGCTTTCTCTGTCCCAGTGACATGTCCGGTATTCATTTGCCCAAGATGGTCCACTTAAGGAAAAGTAAACCAAAGAAAAGCCATTGAGAAAACAAATCACCCAGCAGTCTGCTTGTTCATTTTTCACAAACACCAGAACCATCTCCTCCTAAATGGAAAACACAACGGTCGCTGGGGGATGTTAGATGGGGGAGGGTGAACATGTTTTCTCATGGAACTTCCCTTTGCACCTCCTAGAAGGTAACGCAGGAAAGTGACAGGGTAGGGACGAATTGCTTTTTCCTCATCTCTTCTTTTACAAAGGTGATTTCTGTGGAGCTTCCCACCTTCACCCCCTTCCCGCTGCTCGCTGCTCCTTCCAATTCTTGGCATGGGGGGGGTACCCAGGGGTGGGATGGGAGCAGTCCCACACCCTCTCTGCTCTCCATACCTACAGACCTGTCCAGGGTGGACAACTTCCATAGCACAGTCTTTCTCCTTGTGGGGAGCCAGCTGAGCTAGTTTCTGGGTGACCCCCGGCAAATGTCATTAGAGCCAGCCCTTTTGGCCACAGAAATAAAGCTTACATCCTTCAATCAGATGGTCAGCAATAAAGCTGAAATCCTGAGTTCCCTTTGTCTTGGCTCCAGTGTCAATTGGGTTTGAACTCGGGAGGGGGAGGAAAGGCATGTTATTTACCTCTTAAGACCTCAACAATATGATCTGGATTAGAATGGTTTAAATAACCATGTGAGAACACCGGCCCATTCACACCACATTCCACAACTAAATGATCAAAGCCTCGTCAAAAGTCCATTTCCGTGCCCAGATACTCCAAGTCTGGTTTGACCAATGGGGAGCACGCCAGGCTGAACACAGGGATGCTACTAATTATCCAATCACTGTAAAAGAAAGCAACTTTGTCCTTTCGGGAGCAGGGAAGAGGGTGCTCCCGGGTTTCAGGTACTGGCCCAGACATTAGCTTGGGTGAGTCAGGTCACCTTCACAAACCTGTTCAGCCATGAGAGTCTCAGAGGTGGTGATAAAACCAGGTACCCCAGGAGGGTCTGTGTCTGTTTGTTAAATAAGTTACAAGAAAGAACCCTGTGAAAACAGGGCAAAACCGGACAGCCGTGAAACTGTGGCTTTCAGGTAGCAATGCTAACAATCATTTGTTCTATGTATTCCTTCCAGAATGAGCCATCATTGTCTATAAAGTCCCTAAGGAATTTAGTTTAATGAAATGATAGGAACAAGTTCAATTAGAATGTAATTGTGTGTATGTAAATATGCTTAGGGGAGCTTTGGTAGAATTTATGGTTGCTCCATTCACCCAGAATTTTGGCCCACATTATTAATTTGCCCTACCATGAAGAAAGGGTTTGTTCATCAAAGATAAACTATTCCGCCGATAGTGAATTAGGGACCTCCAAATCATAGCAGGATAATGAGGCAGTGCGTTGCACATGTACAACTCTCAGTGAAGCGAAAGCTTTCTGGCGGACCACATAGGAGGTCTCCTTATTGAAAGATTTATTTTTAATTTTGAACAGCTTCCCAGCATTACCCTTCATGAAAATTAAAATATGGAGCTGGAATTTTGTCCTGTTCAACAAACCTCCTGGCAGGGCTACTCGCCACAGCAAAGACAACCTCACTGTGTCAGAGGAATTCCCCGTCCACCTTTCTGTTAGAGCTCAAAGAATTACACCTACATTTCTAATAAAACGTGGGACTTTCTTCCTGCCTCTCTAGTAACGGTTTTTGCACATTTTCTTCCTTTGGAGGATTTTTTTTTTAGCCTGCCTTCTTTGTGCTCCTTGGGCCTTCTGGCCTGGTAGGAGCTAACATAATTCCATGGCTTGAATTCTTACGTGTATTATATAGAGAGTCATAGACATACTCCTACCCGCAAATCAGGGGGAGCCAAGCCTGTCCTCAGCACATCTCCCAGAGGCTGTTCTCTGCCAAAGAGAATGACTTCACCTTGTATAGCCTCAAAAGGTCCCTTCCTACTTTTCAATCAGTTAAGAACATGAGGCAGTGATGTGTTTGAGGGGAAGTACATAGGCTGAACATAAGAATATTGATTGACTCATAAACCAGATTCCCCAGCGGGTGGACAGAGCTTGGCTTCATCTAACTCAAGAGACACTAGTAGCACCAATATGTCTTCCCAAGATCTATGGCAAAGACAGAGTACTCATTGATACTATCACAACCTCCTAAATCATACTAGTCTTTGTAAAAAAAATAAAAGCAAAGACCACGAACAGTGCTCACCACCTGTAAGTACAGAAAGACAAAAGCGTAACCAGATGATCTGTTCACGCCGCGTATTTTAAAAGACTGGTTGCGTTTGTATAGCTGAAACTGCCCTCCGGTCACATCTGCCATTCTAGCTCCAGCTTAAAATCTTGCCCGCATCATAACTTTGTATTTATTCTAGAGAGTTCAGGGCAGAGCAGAAAAATAATGACTTTAGGTTGGGATGCTGGAATCCTTTTCAATGTAGGATCAATTAATATAGATATATTTAACTATCGAGTGCACCTACTGAAACATTCATGTAAGAGGGAAGTGCAGGGGCACCTGGGTGGCTCAGTGGGTTAAAGCCTCTGCCTTCGGCTCCGGTCATGATCCCAGAGTCCTGGGATCGAGCCCCACATCGGGCTCTCTGCTCAGCAGGGAGCCTGCTTCCTCCTCTATCTCTCTCTGCCTGCCTCTCTCTGCCTACTTGTGATCTCTGTCAAATAAATAAATAAAATCTTAAAAAAAAAAAAAAAAAAAAGGGAAGTGCAGTGAGAGGGGACAGGGCTGCGGGCAATTTATAATCCTTTTCCAGCGAAGTTTGTTGCTCTTAACAGCCTCATGAAAGAGTAAACCACAGTTCTTTTCTCCTACTCCCCCTTAACTCGGCAGAAATAAATAACAAGGAGCCAGCAATGTGAGGCAGAGATCCAGGATGGAAAGTGAGTGCGAGAAAGTGTGGAAACGTTTTCAGGGGAGGACCGGGCATGAGGAGGTCAGGAGCTGGAGCCTAGAAATGCACACTGTGATCTGCACTTTTAAATATCCAATATCCAAGACTTTGTAACAGTTCTACAACCCAGCAGAGACTCTTTGTGAACAGAGGATGTTTTCAAGTCTACAGAGTTAAAAGGAGAAAGCAACGCCGGATACTGATACGGGGAAAACTAACTCTCTTCCTCCACGTTTCAATTATGGATTCAACTATGGAAGAGGCTGCAAAACAGTAGACGTTTTCAGGAAAATGTTGTCAAACCGCACAGAACGCCCATTAAACTATTCACTGTTTGTAGATTTACATGAGGATTCTAGCAGAGGTCCAGATACATTTTTTAATTTCTTAAAGACCAAACAAGATCCAAACAATAGCCACGTATGCTTTGGCTGGAAAGGCAGCAGATGCCGACCTAGCACTCTGCATTGGTAAAAATCAGTTTTATGATTCAAAATAATCTGTTAAATGCTCTGATGTCCAACCATGGACCTGTGATCAATATAGCTGATACGAATCCCTTACAAGAGAAGTCCAACATGGAGTGACCCGGCTCACTAGACTATCATCCCCTTCCCATCAGACACAGTCTTCTAATCTCACCGAATCACCACCACTTAGTATAGGTCATGCTATGCAGCTGGTGTCCAAAAAAATACTTGCGAGTGAATGCAAATTCTTCCAAGTATCTTTTATATTACAGAGCAGCTCACGGGTTTATAATTAGATCCGTGTGATTCTACTTCAATGTAGAACTTTAATATCATTCATGGATACCAACATAAGCACACCCCCCCCCCCCGAAAAAATTTGTATCATATAACAAAGGAGATCTTGTTCCTACCTGCTTGGTTGGTTGTTACGGTGACAGATACTGACTGGTCTGGGCTGGGATTATACTTGGACACTCCATTCACTGCCCAGATTTCAAATGTGTAATTGGTGTGAGCCAGGAGGTCAGTGATGGAAACTTTGGTGGTTTTCAGGCCATTCTGCTGTGGGGTATAGTGGACCCCACTTCCACAGGGTCGGCACTTGCTGAAATCACCAGCTCCGCATTTCTTGCACACCACATTGTAGGAGATATCCTGGCGGCCACCTGTGTTCTGAGGACTGCTCCATTCCAAGTTCACCGACGTCTCATTGACATTCGAGATCAAGTTGAGGGGAGCAGATGGTGGGCCTAAGAAAAAAAAAAAGAAAGACACACACAGATTATCAAACCAAGAACTAAAACTATCCTTTTGGAATCACTCAGAGTTTATTCTCTGCAGCTCTAGGAGGTAAGGTGGGCCCATGCGGCAAAGAAAGCAGAAAGCAAATCACCCCGGCAAAAACAGATCTTTTCAAAGAACCACATGAAAGAAGGCTGCCTGTATGTTATTCTCAATCCTGTGCGAACAACAGTAGCACTGACTGCCGCTCGGAAATGTCATGCATCTCGACATCAAATGGGCTTCGAGTTCAGGCTTCTCTTTGAAGTGGCAGGAAAATACCAGAACTTATCTAGTTTTATCTCATCATCTGAAAACAGGCATATGAATGTGATTCTAGGATCCAGGGCCACGGTGGGACTCTGGTAAAGTAACAGTTAATGTAGCACTTTTGAAGATACATCACAGTTCCTAAGTGCAGCATGTCCTCAAGGTGGAATAAAATTAACTGAATTGTCTAGAGAGGCAGGCTCTTCGGTTCAACACAGCAGTCAAGAGTTTACCTTTTTCTAAGTAATTCATGGGAACTGATGTGACCTGGCTGCAGAGATGTCAAAGGTACAGCTGTTGGGAGATCCCAACGTGAGGCAGACATTATGCAAAGGCTCCCGGGCCTCATCCTACCCCTCAGCAGCCCAAAGTCACCCGGGGCCCTTTTAAGCATACTCATTCCCACCGGCATCAAAGAGTTTATGAAACGGGAATGATGCTAGTAGCTGTTTTGAAACAGAACAACTGACTGCAAACAACACAGTGGTTGGTTTTAAAGATAGTAATGAATATATAAATAAAAAGAACAGAGAGCCACGCTGAACCTTCTTGTTTCTTGCTGTAGATTCGTCTCCACATGCCAAGAAGTTGTCACACACGCTGCCTTCAAGAAGAATTCGGGTGGGGAAGGGAGGGAATGTTCCTGGTCTGAGCCACTTCCAAAGGCTGAAGAGACACCTGCTACACTCTAATGAAAAATACCTACTCAATGAAACACATGGAAAGTCCTTTCTTTTCCTTCCTCTTTCCCATTCTGGTCTTGCAGAAAAAGAACCAGAGCGAGTTTTAATGAAAATTTGAAGTTTCTTGCTTACCGTATTTATTCTATTTCTAATTTACCTGCAATGACGGCTTTGAGGGAAATGTTTCGTGTTCATCAGGAAAAGGAAGTTAAATGGAAGCCTGTATGAACTGGGAAGAAGCTTTAGCTAGTCAAGCATAATAGAATGTGTTGTCCCAAAGTAGTCATTGAGAAGGAATTGAAAGAGGTAACCTATTAATCAGGAGCCATACACAATATTTATTACTTAGCTCATGCTGATGAATGGCTAAAGGATTTTGGTGGTAACACTGAATAAGGTAACCCACCCTCCATTTCTCTTCTTAGCATTTACTTGAAGACTCACAAAGCAGGCAGAACTCCCTATCTCCCCCTGAGACGAATTACCAACAACCACTCTCAGTTTTGAGATCTGTTCCCCGTCCAGTGTTGTTAAGAGTGTGTTTAAAAGTAAGATTACCCCCACAGAAGTCTGCAGGAAGAAAATGTAAATGTCTTTCTTCTTTAGGTTTCAAATTTATACCTATGGTCCCTAGCACACTGACTGGACTATAATAAAGATACATAAATGGTTTATGAATAAATGAACAGTTATTTAAAATCACGGTGTCCTAGAGACAGACAGGATGCTAAGCATCATTTGGTCAAATAACTTCATTTTCAAGATGCGGGAACTGAGATCCAGTAAGTGGATATACTAATACTGAAATCTCATGCAACTCAGTAACAAAATCAGACTAAAATCCAAAAGTACTCCCACTCTAGAGTTATTTCCACTCCCTTATGGGTATTCCCCATCAAAGGTATAATACCAAAATTGGCAGTTTCAGCTAAAGTTTGAGATGTAAAGGTAGGGAAAGGGAAGGTGTATTTCAATCCCACTCAAATTCTAGATACGTTTGCCACCACGGTGAAATCCATTAGCAGTCTGCCACTAAAGCTGACCACAGCGTGGTTTATAAAATGGGTCAGCCACGGGTTCTTATTTTGCTGTGACTTCCAGAGTTAAATACGAGTGACTCTTAAATCCATTAACCTCCTTGCCAAGGTTCCTGGTCCACTTTCACATGGGAAAATGTGACACAATGAATCAAGCAATGCAGAAGCAAAAAGTCAGTTAATTAGTATGTAGGACGGGGCATGGCAGTGTCTAAACAGAGAAGAAATGAAGCAGAAAAGGAAACGGTCACAGGACTCAGACACAGAACACTGCCCTGTGGGGGCAAGGTGTTGGCAGGGGGTGGGGGAAGGGGAGGGATGACGCAGGATTTCAAATGGAAGGCTGGACCAGAACAAGTGGTAGCCTGGAACAGCCTTCTTCCTTTGGGCAGTGAGTCTTATTAAAGACAACCCTGAAGTAGATGCTAAAGGGAGGAGAGAGAACAGGACGAGGCAAGTTCAAATTCAGTGATGCCTCCGTGAGCGGTTTGGTGAATTGCACTGCATTTATGTGTTGCTGCCATAGGGAGGGATGTTATATGGGCTTCAAAACTGGACAAGAGCACAGTTTGTTTGGTGGGTTTTTTGGCAGGGGGCGGGGGGGAGGCAGAGGGAAAAATGCCCACCCAGGACGATTATAATGGCGTTCTGCAAAGGCCTGGGAAAGGACTCATGCTTTATAAATTAAAATCTTAATGGTGGTTGTGTTTTGTTTGTGGGATTGTGGTTTTCTTTTCTTTTTTTTTAAACTCGTGTCAATTAAAAGATCATGAACATATTTCCTTTATAAGGAGGGACCATCTTTTCTTCAGAAAAGACTGTATTCTCAAGACAAGCAAAGTACACACTTTAATACAACCAAAAGTCTAGCCAGACCCAGCAGTCATACTTAATATTAACAGCTGTGCCTTAAAACCATTATTTGTAGAAATGGCTATCAGGAAAAGAAAACAGTGTTCTGCATAATATGGGCTCTCTCAGTAAATACAAGGAATCCAGGAGGGAAAAACTTAAATCTCCGATTATCTTGTTTTCTGTTTACGTAAATCATGAATCTGGATATTTGGGAACAAGTCAAGTTTCTGAAAAGTGACTGTGGCCTTTTTCATCAGAAATCGGTCCAACCGCAAGAAAGTCTCCAATTACAAATATGAGATCTAAAACAAAATGGGTAACCATACCACTTGTTTAAATTTTCTAGTCGCCATGTTGAGATCATATTCACTGAGCATACAGCATCAGGGAACTTACAGGTCGTGTGCATGGCACGATTCTGTCCTTCCCAAAACTTCTCACTACTAGCCCATATGTAGGATCGGCTGCAATCCCGCTTACACAACGATTCCACATTTCATTTATTTCTGTCTTACTCTGTCTGGAAAATTCGATGGGGTCCTGCTAAGCAGACATACACTACGTATCTGTATGTATCACCGTTAGATGTGCTCTTCAAGACTGTTGATGTCTTCATCATTTCCCAGTGTCTCCCCTGATTCCCCGTCCAGACAAGTTCCACACGTTTGAGGAGCCCACAAATGAACGAACGCCTAGACAGAAAACTCACAAAGTCCCCTAGTGTGTCTGTGGCCCACTACCTACGGTGTGTGAATTAATACAGGCTTCCCTGAGCTAAAGCTGGAATAGTCAGCTCTTCCCATGGAGACTCATTAGCATTAAGCCCAGTAAAGGACTTACTCGGTGTACCTAGTTTAATTCGACGTCCCATTTTCTGGAATTTAAAAATACTTTGGGAAGATTCAGTCAGGCTACTTATCATATCCTGTGCTTACTCCTGTTAGGAGGACTTGTGGACCTCTTTCATGTATTCAGGAGGCACTTACTATTTGTCACCTGCTTTCAAAGATGGAGGAAAAAAGAACTCCGATGCTTTCCTGGATAAAAGGAGGAACTGGGGGGGGGGCAGGAAATCTGAGGGAAAGAAAGACTGAAGGAAGCCAAACATGGCTAAGCACAGGAGGCACAGAGCAGGCTCTCTGCTGGCCCTCAGCATTTTCACAGCTCCGTTACCAGCCAGTGTGGCTGGGAGTGTAAAATGTGGGCTCCGTGGGGCGCCTGGCTGGCTCAGTTGGTAGAGTGTAAGACTCCTGATCCCAGGGTTGCAAGTTCAAGCTCCACACTGGGTGTGGCGATTCCTTAAAAGTAAAATCTTAAAGGGGTGCCTGGGTGGCTCAGTCAGTTAAGCATCTTCCTTCAGCTCAGGTCATGAGTCATCAAACCCCGCATGGGCTTCCCGCTCAGTGGGGAGTCTGCTTCTCCCTCTCTCTCTGCCCCTTCCCCCATATGTTTGCTGTTTTCTCTCAAATACATAAAATCTTTTAAAATTTTTAAAAAATAAAATGAAAAAAATGTGGGCTCCATCAATCAAATTTGCTAATTTAGGATTGGTTATTATGACTTTCCTTCCCCATCTTGGTTCCAGATGATGGTTTATTCAGGTTTGAAGCTGTGGAAAACTTCGTATCTGAAAAAAAATTTTCATTTTCAAAGGCAGGCTAGCATTTTCCTTATTAGCCTTTAAAGAACCACAGTTTTCCTTCACATTTTATTTTTATCCTCAAAATTAAGACTTTTTAAATACAAATCAATCAAATGCTGAAGACTATGTAAGGAAAAATAAATGTCCTTCCTTACTTACTTTTTTTCTTTTTAACTTCTTTGGAATTCACGTATTAAAATCCCTTTCCGCTGCCAACAACAGGGCTAGAACGTTAAAGTCTTTTAAATTTCTCATGTTTAGAATGCCCGTCACATTTTAAATATAATTTAGTGGCCTAGCTAATAATGGCTCTGCTCTCAAGTCAAATGCAATAGTCCTTAACCTACGAATCCTTTACAGCAGGATTCCACAAAATTTTCTCTGTGAAGGGCCCGATGGAGAGTCAGTATTTCAGGCTTTATGGGCTATACTTTCTCTGCGACCGTTCTTCCACTCTTCGCTGTACCCCGAAAGCAGCCAGA